GAGCTAAAGAAGTAATGCGGTAGGAGTTTTTCTCTTCATCGTAGCCAGATAACTCTGTTTGGTCACATCAGACCCCATCCTGTTGAACATGTGCTCCCCCAGCTGCATGATGCATCTGTCAGAATGAACTACACGCGAAACTTCATAGTTCATAAAGGACAGTATTTTCTTGAAACTTTTGCTCACTTCTAAGCCGACTGGTGTGTTTAAAGCACACAGAGATCGAACTCTTTTCCGGCCCTAGGCATCATCCTCTTTAGGTTTCAGGGGACAGTTTTTTATATGTTTCCAAAGGCTACGCTTGTTATAAAGCCCTTGGCAGTAAATGCAGTGAATAAATTCTTTGGCTCTGTGTCTATTTTTTGGACGGTAGCAGGCAATCATCTCCCCATGTCCTTGTCTCACCACATCTGTGTTGTGGGCAAAGTTGCCCCTTTTTCTAAGGAGGTTTAAAGAACTTTGGAAAGAGGCTTTTCCAAAGAACTTTATTCTTGTTCAAACTGATGCTGTATTAAGCGGTTCATGTAGTGCATGAAAACGTCCCTGAAACGTGTGTATTTGGCAAATAATGCTTTTATTCCACTTCAGCTGTGGTAAAGTATGCAAACACAGCGTGAGCGTCACTACGGGAAGCAGAAAGTGTCAGACTCATGTCTCAGTTTTCAGCTTCTCCCGGCTGCACACGGCAATGTCCAACACAGCTGATGTAAACGATGAAAAGAGGGAGTGAATGGAAAGAGGATGAAAAGGATGAGTAAATGTAAAGGAGATAGTAGAGAGATTTTGAAGAAGGGTGGATGGAGGAAGCACAGAGGATAGTTGGACACTGAGAATCATTCCCACCGCCAAGTTATTAGATTTGTCATTGTTCTTTTTTAATTTTTTAATTTTTATATCTTTTTGAATTTCTGTCATTAACTGCAATGTGTACTTTCAACACAATGTTTAATACTGTTAATATTAACGAGTCATTAAATCGGAGTGTGTATCACTAGAGTCCCCAAAGAGTAATTTAATCGGAGTGTGTGTCACTAGAGTCCCCATAGAGTCATTTAATCGGAGTGTGTGTATCACTAGAGTCCCCAAAGAGTCATTTAATCGGAGTGTGTGTGTCATTAGAGTCCCCAAAGAGTAATTTAATCGGAGTGTGTGTGTCTTTTGGGTCCCCAAAGAGTCATTTAATCGGAGTGTGTGTGTCATTAGAGTCCCCAAAGAGTCATTAAATCGGAGTGTGTGTGTCATAAGAGTCCCCAAAGAGTAATTTAATCGGAGTGTGTGTGTCATTAGAGTCCCCAAAGAGTCATTAAATCGGAGTGTGTGTGTCATTAGAGTCCTCAAAGAGTCATTCAATCGGAGTGTGTATCACTAGAGTCCCCAAAGAGTCATTAAATCGGAGTGTGTATCACTAGAGTCCCCAAAGAGTCATTTAATCGGAGTGTGTGTGTCACTAGAGTCCCCAAAGAGTCATTTAATCAGAGTGTGTGTGTCATTAGAGTCCCCAAAGAGTCATTTAATCGGAGTGTGTGTGTCATTAGAGTCCTCAAAGAGTCATTTAATCGGAGTGTGTGTGTCATTAGAGTCCTCAAAGAGTCATTTAATCGGAGTGTGTGTGTCATTAGAGTCCCCAAAGAGTCATTAAATCGGAGTGTGTGTGTCATTAGAGTCCCCAAAGAGTCATTAAATCGGAGTGTGTGTGTCATTAGAGTCCCCAAAGAGTCATTTAATCGGAGTGTGTGTGTCATTAGAGTCCCCAAAGAGTCATTAAATCGGAGTGTGTGTGTCATTAGAGTCCTCAAAGAGTCATTCAATCGGAGTGTGTATCACTAGAGTCCCCAAAGAGTCATTTAATCGGAGTGTGTATCACTGGAGTCTCCAAAGAGTCATTTAATCGGAGTGTGTGTGTCACTAGAGTCCCCAAAGAGTCATTTAATCGGAATGTGTGTGTCATTAGAGTCCCCAAAGAGTCATTTAATCGGTGTGTGTGTGTCATTAGAGTCCCCAAAGAGTCATTTAATCGGAGTGTGTGTGTCATTAGAGTCCTCAAAGAGTCATTTAATCGGAGTGTGTGTGTCATTAGAGTCCCGAAAGAGTCATTTAATCGGAGTGTGTGTGTCATTAGAGTCCTCAAAGAGTCATTTAATCGGAGTGTGTGTGTCATTAGAGTCCTCAAAGAGTCATTTAATCGGAGTGTGTGTGTCATTAGAGTCCTCAAAGAGTCATTTAATCGGAGTGTGTGTATAACTATTTTTATTTGTATAAAGTTTTTTTGACAGTTACTACACTTTACAGAAGAAATGCCTAATGTCATAAAGCCCCAGTGAGTAGCCAAAGATGACTCTGGTGAGGAAAACCCCTTAAGATGTTTTTGTGATGATGATTAGTTTGCAGTCGATGCTAAATTAACTAGAGGGATGCAGGCCGTGGCCAGTGAAGTGTTCTCTGCCATGAAGTGAAGTCAGTTTTATTTCTATAGCGCATTATACAATACAGATCGTTTCAAAGCATGCTTCACATACATAAAATAACTTGCAAATTTCAACAATTATGTTCATCTTTTGTTCTCTGATAGTCAATACAGTCAAATCAATAATATTTCTGAATGTTAATTGTCATTCCCCGACTGAGACAAAGGCACTTGATCTCAAGCTACAAATCAGACAAAAATGTAGGCTACCCATTTACAGTGATCATGAAGAAATGAAAAACCCAGTTTACTCTCTCACACCTGTATCTCTGCACTAGCTTGATTTCAGTGTCCAGTATTGGAACTTTGAATTGTAATATTCTACTTCTGTCTTCTTAGGATAAATAATATAACATCTCAACAAAGTCCTGAAAGTATACCTTAACCAGAGTCTGTGTATCACCATGGTCCTCAAAGTATGACTTGACCAGAGTTTGTGTATCACCATGGTCCTCAAAGTATGACTTGACCAGAGTTTGTGTTTAATGTCCCCAAAATGGACATAAAAAATACTGTCCCTAAAGTGAAGGCAAAATGTCAGGTCTTTAAAGGAGAACTCCGGCGCAAAATGAACCTTTGGTCTAATTACACATTGTTACCTAGTCAACCGTTATCTGAGATTTGTTTTCATGATTATCGAATGTAAATAGTTTTATCTCTAAAAACAGTTTAGCCTATAAAGCTAGTATAACGCTAGTATATTGGGCATAGTGTAATGACAAATAAAAATCGCTTGTTAATACCACTAACAAGGCTCAAAATAGCCCCACACTAACACGGTAGCATAATGAGGGTCCCTACCTTCAAACCGAAGCATTGAGAACTTTGTCAGTGTCCAGACAGTTTAATAAGAAGATATTTTTTACATACAGTCAACTTCGCGTATACAGGCAGAAGCCATCTTTGAAAAAGAGTCTCTACCAGTTGATCTACGCACGCCAATCCAAGTGCGCTGGTGAGATGTGAACGAGCTATAAGTTGTGATAAGGTGAGTGCGAACAGCAGGCTTGGATCGCCGCGTTCAAAGTTCAAAATAGTTCAACTTTTCCGCTGCGCTCTGTGATGATTACCAGCACGGCCAATAGAAACGGGACATCCAAACAAGCACGGAAATCAAAATGGATGAACGGCTAGTACGGTGAGTGTCGGAATTACCTGAGCTGTACGATACAAGTTGAGGTCGAATAGGGACAAATAACTAACGTTATTATACTGATGTATTAATCTCCCGCTTAAAATTTTTGAAAACTCCGCCTACTTTGCTCTGGCATAGCGCAGCGCATATCACGTTGTATCTGAAGAGCAACGCTGAACCCAGCGGCGCGCATTCCGCGTCCTGTGTGAAAGGCCCATAACGCGCCGCATACACGTGCAGTGTAAATAAGGGGTTAGTCTTAGGTTAATCTTCGAAACACAAATGATGATATTTTACTGAAATCTGTGAGCTTTCTGTCCCTCTGTTGACAGTTACGCAACTACCACTTTTACGCTTCAAAAAGTTCATAAAGAGATCATGAAACTAATCCACATGAATTGAGCGGTTTAGTCCAAATTTCCTGAAGAGACTCGATCGCTTTATATGATGAACAAATAGAATTTAAGCTTTTATTCACATTAACAAACATTCACAAACATTCATCAAAGCACGTATCAGTTATGTATGCAAGCTCAAGCTTGCTTGCAGGCAGCATGTTTGACCTTTAGCAAGAACCAATGAGATTCATTCTCGTGTTACGCAGCACGTTTGAGCTTCAGCAAGAACCAATAAGGTTAATTCTCATGTTACACAGCACATTTAAGCTTCCGCAAGAACTAACGAGGTTCATTCCCGTGTTATGCAGCACGTTTGAGCTTGAGCAAGAACCGATGAGGTTCATTCCCGTCCCAGATAGCACTAGTCTATTTGATGTTATATTTACATCTGGAAGACGTATTTTTAAGAGTGTTTGCTCATCTGCAAGACGTCTATAGGACGTTTCCTATCAGATGTCAAATAGACATTTAGAAGATGTCAGTTTAACATGCATTCTAAATCATTACATCTTAAAGACATCTTATAAACGTCTATTTGACATCTGACAGGAAACGTCCTATAGACGTCTTGCAGATGAGCAAACACTCTTAAAAATACGTCTTCCAGATGTAAATATAACATCAAATAGACTTGTGCTATCTGGGGTGTTATGCAGCACGTTTGAGCTTGAGCAAGAACCAATGAGGTTCATTCTCGTGTATTATGCAGCATGTTTGAGCTTTAGCAAGAGCGTCTAGGTTACTAATGTAACCCCCATTCCCTGAAGGAGGGACGGAGACGTTACGGCAGGTGACTGACAAATTTGGATGTCGCCTGAGAACCCAATCACCTTTGAGTGTAAACAAAACAAGCCAATGGACATTGGCGAGTGAGATTTGCATTGCATGGGGCGGTGAAAGCACAGGGCTTAACACAGAGAGAGTCAACCACTGCTGCAACCACTGGAAAGACGCGGGTTTCGTCGACAGGGAAGCCATGCCGTGGAATATTACACATGTGGGATCACCTGTAGTGGAATCACAACACATGGGCACCTAGTCTAGCACAGGGGCTGCCCTTCTGGGCATACACACAAGTACTAGACCTAGCGCCAGACACCTCTGCCGTGTCACTCAGCCCGCAGCTCTACAAATGTCTGACAGCAAGGCACTGTGTGCCAACACCCAGGAGGAGGCAACACTCCGAGTGGAGTGAGCTCTCACCCCAAGGGGGCACGGCCGGTCATGAGCCTGATATGTCAAGGCTAGGCATCCACAATCAAGTGAGCCAACCTCGCAGTGACATTTTTCGCACGTAGGGTGAGGTCCGTCGCTGTGCGTAGTTTCTGCATAAACTGTGTGCAACAGATCAAAACCATGCACCTCCGGGGAAGAAAGGCACTGGAGTGGGACGCTGCTGTTCAGCATGCCCCACCCCAAGATACCAATCATCCAGTCTTGAGCGTTTGGGACACGGTGGAGGATTTCACTCGAGCCTGACGCTCTCAGCAACGCAAGCAAGGATGCTTGAGCTTATGTTTATGTTCGCTGAACAATGTTCATATGTGAATAAAACCCTAAATTCAATCGGTTCATCGGTTCAAATTATCTTTATTTGTGTTTTGAAGATGAACGAAAGTCTTGCGGGTTTGGTACGATGTGAGGGTGAGTAAATGATGACAGAATTTTCCTTTTTGGGTACACTATCCTAAGGGCTGGTTTCACAGGCAGGGCTTAGATTAAGCAAGGGTTAGATCTTAAACCAGTCCATTTAAGTAGCTCTTTTAAAGGTGCCTTAAAAAAACATTAGTGTGCATCTTTAGATAAAACAGTGGCACTAACATAAAACAGCTCAAACAGTCTTAAGCCTTGTCTGTGAGTCTGGGTATAAAAGTGATAAAGTTGAGTTTTAAAAAAATGGAAATATTTGTTACTTACAACTCTTCTTGTCGATAACCTAAAGGCTCTTTCACACTGTAGGTGGAACCCAATGAGATGCCAACAATAACAGCAGGTAGAACTAAACAGAAAAAGATTTATTGACATTTAATGATATTATATATTGGATATATTATTTCATATTTAGGGTTTAGTCTTTTGTTTGATTTTGCTGTTAATACCCAGGATGCAGGGGTGGGTGAAATAAGAAAATACTATTTACCAATATTCTTAAAAATGTTGGTTGATAACATACACAAGTATACACCTTTCTTTCTTTCTTTCTTTTTTGGAAAAGTGATTAAAAATACTGAAAAACGTTTTAATTAAAATACAGTCATGTACACTGCAGTAAAGCTACTTGATCAAACTAAACAATTATTTGAAATACAGTTTTATAATATCTTCTCGCCAAGTCATTAGTGTTTTTTTTCCAAGGTTACTCTAGATAATGCTTAAAGGAGTAGTTCACTTTAAAATGAAAATTACCCCATGATTTACTCAACCTCAAGTCATCTTAGGTGTATATCTTTCATTCGAATGCAATCGGAATTAATAAATACCCTGACGCTTCCGAGCTTTATAATGGCAGTGGATTGCAACCATCAGTTTGAAGCTCAAAAAAGTGCATCCTAAGTTTCTTAAAGGCCTCTGAAGCAAAGCGATTACTTTGTGTAAGAAAAATATTCATATTTAACACGTTACAAAGTAAAATTCTAGCTTCCAGCCAAACGCAGTCTACTTGCGTCTGAAGCACAACTTACGCAACTTATGACGATGGAAGTAGCGTAGTGCGTCATGGCGTAGCGTAGATATCTGCAGTATGTCTCATTACTTCCATAAGTTCCGCTTTAGACTTAAATCGAATCCATATGTTCGTTTGGTTGGTAGCTTTTTTTGAGCTTCAAACTGATGGTTGCATTCCACTGCCATAATAAAAGCTTGGAAGCGTCAGGGTGCTTATTAATATAACTCTGATTGTATTCTGTAAGAAGAAAGTCATATACACTTAGAATGGCTTGAGGGTGAGAAAATCATGGGGTAATTTTCATTTTAAAGTGAACTACTCCTTTAATAATAACTGAGGTACTTTCCTCACCGTTAACGCTTCTTCATGCTGGTAAGAAAACGTCACAGTGAGAGGGTCAATTCCACACAATCATACAGTGCTTTAGATGATTAACGTTTAAAAACCTTAAAAGGATAGTTCACCCTAAAATGAACAAAAAAGTCTTAATTTACTCACCCTGGTGTTGTTCTAATGCCACATGCCCTTCTTTCTTCTTCGGACCATAAGGGGAGAATTAAAAAAAAAATCCTGCTTGCACTCATCTATATAATGGCAGTGAATAGCGACCAGCATCTAGCTTTTAAAAATATCCAAAACTATCACAGAATGATCCCACGCAATACGTGTCTTATATTCCATATACGTACTGGGGGTATATGATAGTGTTTGGTAAAACAAACAAAAGTTTTATGTATTTTTTAATGAAAATCCTGACCTGGCAGTTAGTCTTCCCTGCATGGCTGCACAATGTGTGCATTCTATTAGTGCCGCAGTTCACTCCATCTTGCCCAGAAAAATCACAAATGTTGTGAGAAATCAAGATTAACAAAAACACAACATGAAATGTCTAAAAATTCCCCCCAAAAAAGTATCTGTGTGCTTTTTTTAACCGAGTTAAATATCTCCAGGAAGACTCACAAACTCGCACGTCGCCCAGTAGTGCGCAGAAGAGCAATGGCCAAGGTCAGGATTTTCTATAAATAATACATTAAGTTTCTTTTTTTTTTTTTTTTTTTTTAAACCCTATAGTATACTCTCAGAATACTTGGGATATAGGGCATAAGTCGCATGGGATCATTCTGTGATACTTTTGCATATTTTTTTTAAAAGCTTGATGCTGGTTGCTATTCACTGCCATTGTATGGACGAGCACGAGCAGGACATTTTGTTTTTAATTCTCCTTTTGTGATCCCAAAAAGAATGAAGGGCATCAGCATTGGAACAACAGTTGATACATTTACGCATATATCGTTTTAACCCATACTGTAAACCAAGACGTTAGTCATAAACTATACAATACATTAGTGTTTTGTTCAAGTCCCCTACCCCATCCAATAGCCAGGGAGACCTTTGGAAACCATGGAGGTGTTCCAGACACTCCGTTTTTGAAGAGGAGGAACACATTAAGGCCGTACAGAGTGTTCCAAGTGAACGTGGCCAACAGGAAGTACTGAAGCAGAGCTGTAAATGCTGTACAGGGACCCTTATCTGGGTACTTGTGATGGTCTGACTCGGGAACTATGTTCTGACCAGACAACTTTGCCACACTCAGATGTTGGACAGGGTTGTTTATGCCGAAGATGAAGAGAAGGTAGAAAACCGCCATGCTCATGCAGATGTTCACAACTAGCAGAGTAGGACTGCCTCCTCTTGACTTCCTGCGGCAAAATGTATGAATATAAGCTATAAAAAGTTTCACCTCTCAAATAGCTGTGGCTATGCTTAACAGTGTAAACTATAAGCCTTTACCTGGTTATGATTTGGTACACAGCTGTGACAGACAGACCCAGTACAGACAGAGCGCAGCCGGTGATGCTGATCCAATGCAAGGCTTCAGAATACTGATAGTTGGTATCAAATGCCTGCAGAAAATGACACTAAAATTCTAGTTGCAATGGACTTTAATTCACAGCATCATAAACTTTACACTCTTAAAAATAAAGGTTCTTTATTGGCATCTTTGGTTCATTGGCATTCCATGGAACGTTTCCATGGTTACAAAAGGTTATATATAGTTGATAATGGTTCTTCTGATTATTAAAAAATGTTCTTTACACTTAGAAAAAAAATGGTTATTTTAAGAATTGTTCAGTTAAAGGTTATTTGGTGAAGCAAAAATGTATCTTCTACGGCATTGCTCTAAAAACCACCTTTATTTTTTAGAGTGACTGACCCATTTAAGTCAAATATCAATGATATTTACATCCTTTTACAAATATATCTTACCATCAGAATGGCAAAGTTTGCATTTTTAAAATCTTTCGGTTGACAGCTGCATACTACATGTCCTGAGGGTTTCAATATTTTGGAGCAGCCTTCTGGGCTCCAGTCATTTTTAGGGTAACTCCAAAACACACATGCAAAGTTGTTGAGGGATAGTGTGGAATCGACCTGAAAGTTCAACAATGTATTAATTCATGAACACCATACCTGTGCCGACCTTTGTCAATGTGTTTGATAACGAGGAACATGCTACATATGGAACATACCGATGGTATGACTGCAAACTCAATGTGATCAAATCCAATATTTTCTTGAAGGTTAGCAGATATTACTCTTCTCTTGGTATCCAGAGAAGGTTGAAAGCTTTTTGACTGAAAGAACTGATCACTATCATAGAGGACAAACCCAACATCTTTATCAAAATCTACAAAAATAAGGGACAAAGTTACTATAGTTAAAATAATACTTTCAACAGATAATTTCATGTGGAATAATCACAAAATACAAATTAGGGGGAAAGTAGACCTTTACTGAACATGACATTCATTTGAAAGTCAATGTTATCTTTGGAAATCTCAGCCTGTGTTGTATCCAGTTTTATTCTGTCAGGTAAAAAGGTATCACTCTGCCCTGAAGAAATGAAGATAAACATGACTGTTAGAAGCACGCTAACTGTCCAAACCCTTACAAAAATATTAATTTAATTCAAGTTCATTTTACTCAGTATACTTAAGTAAATTCTTAAAGTATATTTTTACTTTACGCATAAGTATACTAATATCAATATACTAGTAGTATAATTGTAAGTGTACTATTTCAAAACCACTTGGGACTGAATTGGCCCACTTTTCAGTGGATAAAAGTATATTTTTAAGTGTAACATTACTAAACTTAGTTTACAACTACATTTTTCATTTGTACTGCAACTATACTACAAGTATACTGATGGTTCCCTCTCTGAAGTTGTGTTGAAATACAGATACTAGGGGTCACTCTTGGGAGCCCCGAATACCTCTGATGTATTCAGAAAAGGCCAATGAAATTGGTGTGTGGAACCAGAGCAAACATGAGTGGTCTCTCTCAGCGTTTGCTCAGATAGGTGTAGGGAGTTCCCCTGGGTGCATCAGCAGCGTTCTGAAAGAGGCAATTTCCCTAATAAAAGAGTGAATTCCTCTAAAAGAGCTGCATGCCAGATCGCCTCTTTTTAAAGATGCCGTTACGTCTGTGTCCTTCTGGGTGCAGATGATTTCTCTCTCTCTCGGACGGCCACGAGTGCTGTTTTCACTGTATGGGCCGCGCTCATGATGAAATGGCATTCATGGATGGGTCATGCGCTCACTACGAGAGCATGCCCATGGGAACGTTGCGGCCGCAACTCTCGTACTTCTTCAAGAGGCCAAGAGTCTCCTGAGCTGCTCTCTGTCTTGATCCTTCTACCTCCAGGTACGAGGCTTTGGCGGCAGGTGCTCAGGACGATCTGGAAGTTACAATGGGAGAGCTTCTGCCGGGATAATCCAGGCCTCCTGTTCCTCAGCACACTCGCGTCCCCCGGTTAGGATGCTCATCCCCGGGTGAGTTTAATTTCTTAATCTGGGCTCATGAGGAAGATGAGTTATCAATCACAGAAGACGGTCTTATGGAGTGGATTCCTCTGCTCTGTTCCAAACACTCGTGGATGGTTGATTGGTTCCTGGGAGCCCCTCTGCCATGAGAGAATGGCCGTGAGAGAAAAGAGCAAGCTGATGCAGAGCATCTCATTTCTCCGTATGAAATATTCCACATTTTTGACCAGCAGTGGACATACATAAAAAAAGACTGCTTCATGACCATCATATTGCCTCATTTTATTTTAGATTTGACTCTTCCTCTTTTGCTGCATTCACACCATGTCGCAACATGTGGCGTTCTACTCAGAGCTGTCCTTGTACTCGTAATTATGCATCTCTATGGTAACACTATCAACGCCTAAATTAATCTGCAGTGGACTGGTGGTACAAGTTGGAGCCTTGTAGAACTGTAATTGCGAGTTCTACAAGGTCATGTACACTTTTTACAATTTGGAATCTTGACATTTTGACATGCTTTGAATCCACTTTTTTCTTGAGAGTTCTGTTGTATATTTAAGCTTCAAAATGAGCACAAACTCGCCTTTAAAAGAGGTTAATTGCACTTGTCGGATTGGAGTTTGCCCCTTCAGTGACTGCACCGCCATGTTCGGTTGCACCAGCAATGGATTTGACTTCTCACGCAGAGAGAGATTTTGTAAAGTCTTTGTTAGTCTAAACAAACACAATTAAAAAGTCAGACAGCAGGTCAAAAAGAAAGTGCTTACGAATTTGGTTGAGATAGTTCTGTATGTAAGTGTCAGTGCAGTAAGTGTGAATTGTTTTGTTACTCATTTATTGCAGCTTGGTCGACAGAAAAGTATATCCCATGACTTGCGCTCAGGAGCTGACTGACTGTGGCGACTGCTGACACTGCAATATCCTGAACAATGAAGAAAAAGAGTTTCTCAAAACAACTCTGGTTTGTATAAGCACTGATGAGCCAAAACATTATGACCGGTCACAGGTGAAGCAAATATCATTGATCATCTTCTAACAAGACCACATATTAAGGTCTGGGTAGATTAGATGGTAAGCAAACAATAACAATCCTTGTAATCAACATGTTGAATGCAGGAGAAATGGGCAGGAATAAAGATCTGATCGCATTTGATAAGCTCCAAATTGTTATGGCAAGGCATTTGGGTCAGAGTATCTCTGAAATGGCAAAGCTTGTGGGTTGCTCCGGGTCAGCAGTGGTGAGAATTTACCAACAGTGGTCCGAGAAGTGATAAAACACAAACTGGCGACAGGGTGTTGGGCACCCAAGGCTGGCTACAATACACAGTGCATCACACTCTGCTGCGTATGGGGCTGCTTAGCTCAAACCACAGTGTCTACGATGACTCCTGTCCATAGTCGAAAGCATCTACAATGGGCACTCGAGCATCGAAACTGGATCTTGGAGCAGTGGAAGAAGGTCGACTGGTCCAATGAGTCCCGTTTTCTTTTACATCACATGGACGGCTGTGCACGTGTGCGCCATTTACTTGGGGAAGGGATGGCACTAGGATGCACAGTGGGAAGTGCATCTCTGTTTTGGCAGCATGCAGAGGACCGACAGCAGATTAGGGAGGTGGTCATAATGTTTTTGCTCATCTGTGTACAGTAGTATTTTAAAAATGTTGCAGACATACTTCTGGTTTTATGAGAGACATGGGTGTGATTTATCTCACTATAAGTGCTGAGTAGAAAAACCTTAGCAAAAGAGTGCAAAAAATTGTGCTTGAATGGTTGATTATGTATAGAGTTCTGTGGTGTACCTGGAGTAGTCAAATTAGTATATCTGTCTATTTCATGTACAGTTTCAGTTACAGTGTCATGTACAGTTTGGAAAATTAGGCACTGACATGCAATGTTTACACTGCGTATGGAAATAACAACATGCAAATTATGAAAAAACAAGTTGTGCCGAGTAAAGAGAAACATAAAAAAGACGTGAACATGAGCAAGTACAAATTGTCTTGCTATTGTTTCCCTAAAAAATAACATCTAAAAATGGACCCTTTTAATAATAATACAATTAATATATTATAACAAGAAATGTTTCTTCAGCGTCAAATCAGCAGATCAGAATGATTTCTGAAGGATCATGTGACACTGAAGACCGAAGGTAATGATGCTGAAAATTCAGCTTTGATCACAGGAATAAATAATCAGTTCTTTTAATTTGTAATTATATTTTGCAATATTTTACATGAAATAAATGCAGTCTTGGTGAGCGTAAGAAACTTCTTACAAAAACATAAAAAAGTTAATGTTCCCAAACTTCCAAACAGGTACTGTACACATGGAGAAAATATGGAAATGTTCCTCATGAAAGGAGACTTTACATTTTTAAATCTGTTTAAGGCTTAATAAGTACCGTGCTTTGTTCACTTTCATAACGGGAGAGTAGAATGTTGGATATTTTAACAGCATTTGTGATGTTGTGGGCTGTTAGCCGTTCCGGTATGGATGTGAGGATCTGGGTACTGGAGGCTAATAAGAGGACATCGGCTTGAGTAGCTCCAGTAAGCTTCATTAAAAATAAAAATAAAAATTATACAATCATGCAATCTTTTCTGTTTTCATCTGAGGAAAATGTACTATATATTACAATCATTAGACATTGATTACTTACATTATTGTTAATGGTATCCAGGGTCAAACCACAATCTAGAGTGTTTGGAGGATCAAATAAGTGAGTAGATATAGGCCTACTACAGAGAGCTGAAGCTTCGGGGATTCCAGCTGAAAAACATTCATGTTAAATGAAGAGATATTTAAAGTAGAGAGTATATTGTAAATACTGAAAGATAGTAAATGACTGAAATACCATTTGGTGTATTTGATGGACATCGCTCAACTGAGAAAGCAAACTGGCCTAAGAACGTTTTTGGAAAGGTGAATTTACTAGTTTGTGTGGGATTTTGTTCAGGGCAGAAATTAGCTGTAAATAAAAGACAAGTCTGTCAGTAACCTTGACAACAAGCAAGATTATTCAGACTACATACGTGATATTTTCAATGGGTTTTACAGATGTTGCAGGTAGTTCCAGTCCAATCGTCTAGGCAGAGGCAGATCCCATTTTGTAAGGTACCCTTGTTTTCACACACCAGACTGGGTTTGGTCACTGTTGTGCTCGGGGGTGCAGTAGTGGTGGATCTCTGGGTTATAGTCTGGAGTGTTAAGGTGCTGATTGTTGCATTGGGGTTTGTAGAGTTGTTGTGACACCAAGTCTGTTCAAAAACAGCTGTTTACGGAGACAAAACATTAAACAAAAGGTATCAGTCAGGTTGCTCCTCCTGCAAGCTTTTTTTTTTTTTTTGTCGGCTGCACACAGCTGATCGGGCTTTGTAATTATCCTATTTCTACCCCTCAGTTTTTCTCTTTCATTGCCAGTGTGTTTTGTCAATTTGACTACACGTTTATTCTAGTTGTCTCGTTTTTGTTTTTTGTTCTTTTGTTTATTCAGCCCGGCTTTCCATTCCAGTGATTCCTGCTTCCTCTGGCTAGTGACTTGCTCTGATGGATTATTTTCTATCTGTTCCTGTCTGCGTTTTAACATGTGTCAAGTCCGCGTGGCAAACTAATTTGATGAAATGAACTACATTTTCTCATGTATTATCTCATTATTTCATCTGACTCCATAAATGAAAAGGTTTTAATGATATCTGGGCATCATTAAATGTGAGCGAATGTTTCACTATTCTTTTGAACTCTTTTCTGAAAATAATGTCAAAGCCAGTTAGAATAAGATCAAATGTTTACAATGTATTATGTCAGGTAAATGTATCATGTCAATTTCATAATAAATTCAAAGATAATCAATACAATAACATCAAATGAGTAAAAGATGTAGGTTAAACCCGACATTAAGAAATAAATGATGCGGAGTGCCGTCATCCACTCTGCATCACAGGCTAATTTTGAGTTACAAAATGCGCCGATTCTCTTGTTGCATTTCTTTATGTAAACAGAAACTTCTTTCACATGGAAACATGTGTTAACAATGGAAATTTGCATTCAGAGGTTACACCTTTTGAGAGCAGGAGACCATCTGGAA